TCTTTCAAGACATATCTCCTCCTCTTTTGTGAACTCCTCCTGAATGTAATCTTGCTTTTCTCTGAAACACTACAAAAGTAGTGCGTCATAGTGAGCTTGTGCTTATTCGTGTTTGTTCTTTCTTTCTGTCCTTCTTCCCCACCTTGCATTTCTCCCAGCATTAGGCTGTCGCTTCCATGTGAGGGTGTGAGGCGTAGTTGGACTGACTTGTATCTTACAGGTCCAAGAACTGACAAGAACATTTTCATGGTGGTGACTCAATATAGTTTTTAATTAAAGTGAGGAACATCTTTATTCCATGTACCATAAAATTGAAAACAAGGTCTGAGTTAATACATTTCATATACATTTATTTTTGAGTATCTTAAAACCATCAGCACATCCAAACGAACATAATGTCTTTATTTTTCAGTACTGCTGAATCCGGGCCCAAATGCCTCAGAAGTAAAACCAATTCCTATTTTCTAATATATCATAATAACTTAAAATGTGAGGCTAATAGGTTGCCATATTTGGTCAGGAGCGGTCTAAGCTGTGGTGCCTGTGACTAGCGCCCTGCCTGCGGGAAGTCGGTGTGGCTCAGCGTGCTCCTTGAAGCCTCTGGTGTTTCATCGAGATGTTTTGGGGGACCTGGGTGGGAGACAGGTCAGCCTTACTCTCCCATTAAAGGACAACTCTGTTTCAGTTGTTTTATATTGGAATCTAAACTCGCTAAAAGACTTCTGCTGCAGTTAACCAGACTCTCCTCTTACCCCGCCCTCTCTGGCTGGCCTCTCACTTCTCACTGAGGACAGTGAGCTCCAGAGCTCCTGCGTGATTCCCTCAGGTCACGTGCTCGCGAAGGCCCAGCTGGGACCAAACCCAGTCTTGATAGTCTTTGACTCGATCCCTGGCCCAGACCTCCCTCCTCCCACTTCGCTGCCCCTCAAATTTCCCTCCGCTTTATAGGTGTCACTAGGGAATCAAGAAGCACTGAATGGGAGCTGTGTCAGGTTCTGGAGATACAGAGAGGGACAAAACATTCAGGAACCTGCTTCGTGGAGAGCGATGGTTGGCAGTAGCCACACTGGTACCAGTATCTCCTCCTTTTATATACAATTAAGAGGGGTGGGGCAGGTAGAAGAGGGTAAAGAGAGGATAAATGGTGATGGAAGGAGACCTGACTTGGAATGGTAAGCAAACAATACAGTATACAGATGATGTTTTAGAGAATTGTACACCTGAGACCTATAATTTTATTAACCAACATCACCCCAATAAGTTCAATTAAAAATTGGCCCTTTCTAGATAATTCTGCATGTAGTGCTCCACAGTGTTCTAAAACTGAGTTATGGTGATGGTATACAACTACATAAATATATTAAAATTCTTCAAACTGTACAATGAAAATGGGTGAATTTTATAGTATATAAATTATATATATATAAAGTATATATATCATTAAAGCTGTTTTTTTAAAAGGCAGGGGGACACCTGCCCTCCTTAGCTTCGGGGGAAATTGTGGACATAAAACGAACTGGCCCTGTGAAACATTTTAAAGGCATGCTAATGGGTTTTGTAAATGTTTTGTCCCTGTGTGGATTACATGTCAATCCCACAGTCATTTGTTGACCTCCTACTATAGGCCAGGTCCTGAGGTAGCAAGGGAAGAATTGGGGGGCAAAGGGAATGACAAAGATGCATAGGAAGAGGCTTTTAGGGGAGGCAGATTAGAGCCAAGTGTCTCAGAGGAGGTACCTGTAAGCGTCCTCTTTCTTCTACCGAGTTCCTTCCTGTTCGGATGCCTTCTGCTTTGAGTGGTAAATATCTACCTGACCACAGAGCGGTGGTAAGCAATAGAGTTTTATGAAGTCGGGTAACAAGGTGTAAGGACAGGCCTTCTGAAGTTGGTTAATTAGACAGACATCTCAATAGTATCAGGACTCAGGGTCACCCCCCGAGTGTGAGGTTTTGGCTTTCCTCTCATGGTTGAAACATGACTGCCACAGTGCCAAACCTTGTGCTGTCTTCCAACAAGGATGAAACAGTTTCGAAAGGAGGAAGGCAGGGGCAATTGTTTTCCTCATGTCTCTCTCTGTCTTTTTTAATTACAGAGCAAAATCTAACAGCTTTCCCCACCCCCACCCCCAAACAGATTTCCTCTCACATCTCACTGGCTGGAAGAAGACCACACACTCACTCTTAAACCAGTCACTGACAGAGGGGAGTGAGATTAATATTATTTGCCTGTATTCATCCCTAGGGCTGTGGGAGGGGTCCCTATTCCTGTATATGATGCCTGACCACATTAGGATTCAGAGAACTGGGAGGGGGATGGGGAATGGCTGCTGGGAGGTTAACCAACAACATCTACCACACTTAACCATTTTGGTGAAAAGGAATGGAAACGTAACTTGTTCCTTTCCTTTGCTGGCCATGGTATCTTATCTTCTTCATAACACATCTCTATGATTTTGATCCAATGAGTTCTCCTTAAAGCTGGATTCTGCAGGGCAGTTTTGCAATAATACTATATTTGTTTCAGTGTTGGGAGTTTTGATGTTGAGTAGTCCTATTTCATTAGATAATAGGGAAATTGGCAAAGAGCTGTCATTATCCAATTTACAGATCCTTAGCTTTTTCCCTCCCTTTAGAACATTTGGCCAAGTCAGAATTTGGAAGGTTTTCTACTGCTAATTAGAAAGAGATGGAATATTGGTAACTATGTGGTCCTCAGAATCTTAAAGCAACTTGGTATTGTGGGATTTAGAACTAGTGCTCCTCAGCAAAAGGCATTAGGGGCCCAGAGTACCTAAGACGGTAGGTTTCTAACACCAGCCTAGGTGATGTAACTGATATCTTGGAGCTACTGGACAGAAAGCAAAGACATCTGCATGGAACAAAGTGAGTCCTTCTGTCTCTCCTTCCCTTCTCCTCTCTGTCTTATGTAGACCATCCCTAGACTACAGTGTATCCGTATTACACATTTTTATTGTCTTTATTTTATATATCACTCTTTGTTTGATATAACATTAACCATAATTAAAAAACACATTTCAGTGATATAAAATGTACTATGGACAATATCATTGATACTTACGTATATCTCTCTAGGTTATATGATCTGTCTGCAAGAACTGGCCTAATTTGGGGGAATATTTAAGGCTATTTAAAGCCATTAGGGCCATTGACTTTGATGCTGAATAATAAATGCCTGTCTCAGTAAACCCGAATTCTCTTGAATTTTTCTTTCTACCTTCTGTTCTGAGTCATCAAACCCTAGTTTTCTAAGTCTTAATTTCCCAAACAGCTCACAAGTGCTTTTAGTCTTTTCAACTGGTGTTTTGTATATACAGAGAAGATTTAACATCAGACAGACTTTGAAAAGCATATAATTTAGGACATATTTGAACTTCTTTTGAGTGACCTCCTTGTCTTCACCCTCTTCGGTGAGGGCTGCTGTGTATTCTTGCTGATGAACAGCCCCTTCTATGAATGGGCAGGTTCCCACAGAGAGGCCATGGCAAGTATTTGCACAAGGTCACCCCCTCACACACACACCTGTCTGTAAAGAACATTTGGTCAGTATTTGTTGGCTTTTTGTTGTTAACACAGGTTTACATAAAAACTATGTCAACATTGGTCTCTTAAGATGTACCATAGTGAATCTTTTTCATTGTTTTGAGTACCATGTCAGCTTTGTAACAAACACAAATACACTGTTTGTGATTTAGTGATGTGTGGAAGAAGGTAGTGAGGGCAAATTTTAATTAAGCTTTTTGCTCTTTGTAGATTATGTCTGCTTATGCATGCACCCAAAGAGTATATAAAATGGTATATAAAATAAAGAGTATATAAAATATATCCATGCCTCTGGTCCTATTTTGTTCATTAGACTCCACATATAAGTGAGATCATATGGTATTAGTCTTTCACCGCCTGGTTATTTCACTGAGCATAATGTTCTGCAGGGCCATCCATGCAGTTGCAAAGGGTAAGAGGTCCTTTTTAACAACCACATAGTATTCCATTTTGTAAATATATCAGAGCTTTTTTTATCCACTTATCTACTGATAGGCACTTGGGCAGTTTCTACATCTTGGCTATTGTAAACAATGTTGCTATGAACATAGGAATGCATGTATTCTTTCTGATTAATGTTCTGGGATTTTAAAGATATATTTCAAAAAGTGGGATCACTGGGTCATAAATCAGTTCCATTTTTAGTTTTCTGAGGAAACTCCAGACTGCTTTCCACAGTGGCTGCACCAGTCTGCATTCCCACCAACAATGCATGAGGGTTCCTTTTTCTCCACATCCTCACCAGCTCAGGTCACAGAGGGGTATAGGGTGGGTGGGAGGATTGGAAGAGATTGACCAAAGGACATATATGCATGTATGCATGGTCCATGGACACAGATAACAGTGTGGTAAAGGCTGGGGCTGGGTGGAGGGGGACAAAGTAGGGGAGAAATGGGGGTATCTACAATAGTGTCAGCAATAAAAAAAGAAAAATTAAGTATATTTAATGGTGTCCCAGAGGTTAGTTGGATAAACACAAGATTGGAGTAGAAAGACTGAGTGTAGAACCTCAGTTTTACCTTTTATTAGCTGTGTGTCCTAGAACAAGTTAAATAATATCCTTGAACTTCAATTTTCTTATCTGTAATTCCTTTAAATATAGGTTCAATAAACACGGCTTTCTTTAAGAGAAAGTGTATATAAAATATACACATTTAGTTCCCTGAGACCAAGGACACTTTTTTTTGCTTTTCTGCCTGAGATAAGCAAAGCAGTCAATGGGATTTCATGACATCATGTAATTTTAAGGGGAAAACTGAAGAGAATAAATATGCATAAGCCCCAAATGAGAAAACCTAAGAGTGATCCTTTATGCAGTGGTTACATCCTATCCCATAAGTGTCCTTTTCCCTGAAGTTAATATGATGGAGAACATCTTCTCCTGGACCAGCTCATTAAATAAAGCATTTTAAAGGTTATGTTTTCTTTTCTTCTTGCAGCCAAGGATTACTGCAAAGTAATATTTCCATATGAGGCACAGAATGATGATGAATTGACAATCAAAGAAGGAGATATAGTCACTCTCATCAATAAGGTAAATAAAGATTCCCTCCTGCCTTCTCAACTGTGAACTGCTTTGGGGTGTTGACTGCATAGGATGAGCTTTGTTTTAGCCCTTGAAACTCTAGGTTTCCATGGTCCTAAACTTATCAGGAAGACTCTTGTGTCTTTTCTCTTGATCAGGCAAAGCCCAGTGCATCCAGGTGAATGAATGAACTTAAAAATCAAATAGAATCGGTTTGCCTCAGAGCCAGCTGTAGATTTGCATGGCTCTGCAGAAAACATCCGTCCCAGAAGGGCTAACCCAGAAGGCGGTCTTCTTAGCTGCAGACCTGGACTGCACAGCAGCTCTGGCTGCAAAGCTCTGGGTCACGGTGTATCCAAGGAGAGACTTTAAAAAGGCAGGTCATGCTTCACAGGCAGAAGGTACTTAAAAAATGTTTGCTCTTCAGATCAAGGACAGGTAGCATGCTTGAGAGAATTTTGCCTGTCTTGTTTGGGCTAAGAAGGTTGAACCATTTTAGTATCATTATAGGCAGAGTCTTGTAAACATCCAGAGAGCTATAAAACCTGTCTGAAGTGACACAGCTCAACAGAACCTGGGCCATGTACTGTTTATGCTTCCGTGCAGTGCTACTTGCCACGTAGATGGTTGAAAGATTAAATTATGTAAGCGATTCTTAGAATGTATGGCCTTTTCTCTGAGGTACGGGAGTTTTATGATGGTCAGATACGATGAAAAGCTGAACCGTCTTTAAGATAGGCAAGGTGGCTTTGTTCTTATATCCAGGTGAGTGGCAGGGAACATGTAATTCCCTTAGCACAGGTATCATGGCTGCCTGCATTCGTGCAGGGCTGGGAAGCACTGGAGTGGAGGGTGCAGGGATAGGGGACAGAGGATGGGGGTAGTGTGGGAGGTAGGCCCTGGGTCCCAATGCTTCTGGCCATTACTGACAGGGAATGGACCACATCTCCTGCCCCCCGCCCCCACTCACCACCTGAAGTGATCAGTTTGCTTTACCTTTATAATCAAGGAAGTTATCTTTAAAAAATGGGTACAGAGGTTGTGTTTTAAGAGCCCAAGCCAACGATGACAGACAGCTGATGACCCCAGAGCTTAAGTAGCTTGCAAAAGGTCAAATTATTTTAGGGAGAGAGCTGGCCTTCTCACCGCTCCATATGAAAGCAGTATGCTAGACAATGCCAGGGGCAGGCACCTTTCTGGAAGAGCAAACTATTCCTTGCTGTGCTCATTGTTCAAGAACTCATCCCTCTTTTTACCTGTAAATATTCTCCCTGAACTTATTTCTGTGGATTTCTGTTGGTGTTTGGTGTTTTCCATAGCGGGAAGAAATCAGAGGAGGGGAGATGCTGGCCTCTTGTTTCTGCCAAGGAGGCGGCCGGGTGGTGCATGGAGCACTCCCTTTGCTGAATCAGACCCTTAATCCAACAGTGGGGAGAGGGAAGTTGTTAAGCGGGTGTGAGGCATAATGCAAATACTTCAGTGAACAGCACAAATACAGAGAAAGGGGAGACCAGTTTCTCCTGTGATGATAAAGCAGAGAATTCAGTAGCTACCATTCTGGATAGTGGATGGACTCGCTTTCCTATTTTTGTTTGGAAGCGGAGAGCCTCATTTTAATTGAAAACCAGGTATATCAATAATATCTAATACGGTTTCGGAAAAAGAAAAACCCGCTGCGGGTAGTCCCTTACCTGAACACATCTATTTCCATTGTAACATACTATTCCAGTCCCTGCCATGTGATTACATACGATGAGAGCACATTCATCTTGATTGTTTCCTTCCTACCTCCAGTCTGATAAAAAGAGCTTAGTCAGAAAGGGACTCTCTCCTGGTCCCATCCACACTGCACCAAAATTTAGGGATTCTTCCCTCCTGTGTCTCAGCCACTTCCTTTCTGCGGTAGAGCCAGGCTCAGACTGGACGCTGCTCCTCCATAAGACTCCTCCCTCTCCTGGCACCCCCCCATAGCACCTGCTGTGCAGGAGAGCCCTGGGGTGGCTGAGGATGGAGGACCACTTCATCCCTAGCACCCCGGCCCCTTCTTTTTATCATTTCACAGTGGTGCTTTGCTGATGGAACCCCTCTGCTCCAATGAAAGTTTTGAGTGACTTTCCTTTTTTGTAAAATCCAACTCGATTATGCTGCACTCATTGGCCCAGGCGGTCTGGCCTTCTGGCCTTGGTTTATGTTGTTGTTCTACATGAACGAACTCTCCCAGGATGTCCCAGTCCTACTTGTGTGTCCTCCCTAACTGGACGCAAACTGTGTTCCTGTGGCCCAGATGCCCTCTGCCTACCCATTCAGCTAAGTTGTTCAGCAGCTGATAATACACCAGTCTTAACTTATGCTATTTCATGTGCTTGGGCCCGTTGTGAGCTTCTCACTTTAAAAAAGTCCTTTGTACTCCATCATTTGGTTTTTATTAGTATTTTATATAGTGTATGGAATCAGGCCTCTTAATATCCTAAACTTCTGTAGGTTTTGATTTTTATTCCCATTAATGACCTAGTGCCCCAGTTTGCCGGAAGCAGCATGTTACACTGGTAAAGTCCCATGTAGGCCACCAACTCGGAGAAACACGACTCCTGGCTGTGAGTCTTTGGACATGTCACTTAACCCCTCTGAGCCTCAGTTTTCTCAGCTCTACAGCTGGGAAATCCTCACAGGGCTGCCATGAGGATTTGCTGGGTATAAAGTGCTGCTCACAGGGAGGGGCCCACCAGTGAGTGGTACCTATAATCCTAGGAATTGTCACTTCAACTTCAGCTGCTCTTTCTCTGATCGTGAAATGGGCGTGAAAGGGCTCTTGTGTCTGGGCTCAGCTTGCTGTTAGGATGGAACGCCAGGCCAGGAAGTAGGTGACCGTGGTGAAAAATCAACCTGAAATAGTTCAGAATTCACAATGGATGAGTTTTCAATGAGAATTTGGAGGAAAAGATGGGCCATAACTATTTTGCCTGCTGGAAGTGGGAAAAATGGAACCTGAGTCTATCAAACCCTGCTGATGTCATAGAAGATTCTTAAATCCTCCTCTGAGTTAAGGAATCACTCAGAGTTCCTTGAGATGATTGTGTGCTATTGATATTGGAAAGTGAACAGCTTCATTGTGATGCATTTAATATGCATTTGGATATGCGTCTTTATTGTATGTATAAGTCGTGTATGTGTCTTTATTGCATGGATAAGTTGCGACGAAAGATCTAAATTGCTGCTCTCTGAAATCTGATTGCTTTTGCTGTAGAGGTTCTCATTTTACCCCAAAATCAGTCATGTTTTCCTTTCATGGTCAGTGAAGGTGGTTTCCCATTGCCCTGCTTTCAGTGCTGTGGCAGGTGTCACAGGGCAGACGCTGTGCTCATTTTTAGCCCTAGATTGTCACTTCCTGTAGATTTCTAGAAAATGAGTCAGAGACACCTTTACTGGGAGTGCCCTCCGCGATTCCTGAAATAATGTACCAAGGCCCCAAGTATTTGTGTGTGTCCCTGGAAACTAGGATGAAATGTGGCAACCCAAATGGGTTGTTTTTTCAGTTTATTTATAAAGATTTCTTGTGGATTTGGGGACATTTCCACTTGTGTGGAACACACCTGTGTTTAGTTTTTATTTCCAGTCGCTCAAAAATAGCTCCTTTGTCTGTGTTCCTGCAGCTCCCATCCCTGCCTTCTTGATTCATGCCCAGAGCACAGCCGAAAGCGTTCAGAAGCCTCTGGGTCTGGTGCCCAACCAGAGAAGCTCTCTAGAGAATGGCTGAGAGCAGCCTGTCAGGGTCAGGCTGGGCTCAGCTGTGATGATGGCCACCATTGAAGGGTGCCCCTTGTCCTGTCCATTGCTGCTTGACACTCAGTGAACTGAGCTGTGGAGAGAGGGACAATATTTTTGCTCTTGGCCTACAGCCTCCTGGCCTCAGAGTGATGGTGTTTTTCTCCCAGACACTCCCATCCCCAATCTGGGAGGAAGGGCTTCCCATGTGACCTGTTTGTAAATAAGGATCTTCAGGTGTTTCTTATAAAAACGATCCCCTGAGTAGTTGTGTCCTTGACCCTTACTAAAGCAGACACAGCCTCTCTGTTGCTTCTTGGGTATGTATGCCTATTTGACAACAACAAGATCAACACAAGGAAGGATACTATTATTGGCTAAAATCATGGAGCAGGGGAGACGGAGGGAAGGGGAAAGAGACAATATAAGCCAGTATTGATGTTCAGGGTGACAGATGCACTCTAAAGAAAGAGGGAACCCAGAGGATTAGACACAGGTAGAAACACAAAAGCAAACTGGCAGTTTTGGCCCTGCCTAAGGATTTATCAAACCAGGGAGCCCCAATGTTTGGAGTTACCCTGCAGTGAGGGCAGAGTTAGGACTGAGTACTCATCACCCCAGCTTCCTCCATCTCTCCCTCAGTGTGTTTTCCTCCCTTCTTTCCCAGACAACAGGTAAGCATTTAACTTAGTAATGGCTCAATCTACCTACGGGACTGCAGCTTCCCAGTGCAGGACCCTCTGGGCCACTGGCAGCAAGAGCCCAGGATGCTTCATCACCTCTCTTCCCCGCCACCCCAGTCTCTCCCAGGTTCAGCCTCACATCAGCCCTGGGAAGTAGGTGGCTCCACGGGTGTTCAGTCCAGATTACAAAAGGAGAGAAACAGGCACAGCTCTAGAAGCAACTTTCCCAACATTCTTGTAGCAAGTCAGTGGCAAAGCCAGGGCAGAGGTGTCCCCTGAGTTTGAACTCGGGGGCTGGACTGGGCAGGGTGGTACTGTCCCAACTTCCTGTGGGGCAGTCAGATGCTTATGGTAGGTGGAGCTCAGTCACTCCCAGAGGTGACTTGTGTACCCATTGAGTCACCCATATTGCTAAATATCTAGGGCAAGGGCCTGTGGGTTTTTTTTTCTTTAACTGATGACATTATCATGATCTTATCAGGAAAACGGTATCGCCACGCCATTACCCTGTCCGTGTGTTTCTTGTGCATGCATTTTGGTGTCCATGTTTCTGATCTCTTCCGG